AAACACACAAACTATTTTTTTTCATATGACCCTCCCTACAGTCGAGGAAATAAAGATGATATATTGGGTATAAATTCTTCTATTGCAAAAGTTTTTTATGAATATATAAAAAAAACAAGATGAAGCGCGAAAATTTTTTAAATGTTGAAATACCAATACCAGCTATTCAAATTGGACCAACATTTGATGGTAAAGAATTAACTAAACATATTATTACACGTGCACGTGCACAATTTGTTGATGGAAGATTAATGAAATCTATGGATGTTATGTTAGCTGGAATAAATACAAATGATAAACAAATTAAATTACATTTAATACATTCATTAGCAGCAAGTTCATTTAATTGTCTTATTTCATTACTTATTTATACACAAACAGAAGCTTTACTTTATAAAGCTTTTATTTTTAATGCTAATCCAGCTAAGGTAAATCATACGTTTCAAAGAGAATAAACCATGTACATTAATAGAACTTTGACTTGATGCTCGAGATAATGGTAATTGAAGGTTCGATTAAGAGACTTTCATAAAGAATTTCCTACTTAGAATGATGGCAATTACTGCTGGTTATATTCAAAAAAAAAGAAGCCATACGTATTCTTCAAGAGGAGACTTCGGTATGATAAAAACTCAATTTCGATGTTTTCATCAAAAATAAAAAAAAACACAGATTCTCTGACTGATAAATTGCTTTTGAGTCGAGACTATGTGCATTACATGAATTCAAATAAGCTATGAATATCTTGAAAAGAATGTGTGCTCTTAGATTATTCTCATTAAAATCTGTCTCTACGGAAAATTTCAAATCGAAATTCGAAAATCAATTTTTCTATGAATCACGGTATTCATTTAAAAAATCCCGTCAAAGTGTCTTAGTTGAGTATTCATAACTCATTTAGATCTACATACTACAAACAGTATTGACTCAAAAACTGATTTATCATTTAAAGAACTTTCCTCATAAGATTTAGTCTTAATTGTAATTTACATAAAACTGCATTTATTTTACAAAATCTTTGTTTTATTTATATTTCAGGATGAATATATTTTTGAAAATATAATTGATCCAGATTATAAATATAAATTTCCTCTTGAACTTGAACGTTATAATGCAAAAGATAAACGTACATTATTAAATATATTATGTAAAAAAATTTTAACAACATCTAAATCAGATAATTCATTACATCAACAACAACATCTATCAAGTACACCACGTTATTTATCTTCACAATATTTATTTGGTACTAGTTTAACAGATGAATTAGCTGTTTTTGATTTTACATCAGCTGCTGTTAATCAACAACAAAATGATTTAAATAAAAAGTTTAACAAATTCTTTATCAGATAATTCATCAACTAATTTAATTAATCAAAAAAAAACTTGATGATAATGACAGACCAGTATTAATCGAAGGTTCAGATGATGAAATTGCTTCTGAATTTATTGATATGAAAATGGATGAACTTAATTTACATCCATGTATGATACCAATGGTTTGTTTATTAAAACATATGGAAACAAATGGAATTATACCAATAAATGATCATATATCTGATAGGCCACCATCGATGATATGTATCTATAAAAAATGTAGTAATCCACTTATATAATTTAATATAAAATTATTTCTTATGCGTCTTATTATACATATATATATATAATATTTAAACCATATGCACGTTATTGGTTAACACCAATAATTCATATGTGTAATTAAATGTTTGAAAATTCTTCAGAAGGTTTAAATACATTTATAATTGATACAATTGTTATATTATTATCATGGCATAAACAAACTATACCAAGTGAACTTGATTCAATAGCTATACAACGTCTTATTGAATATTTATTTTCAAATTGTTCACATCATAATGTTATTGTTACGAAATCAAATTTAGATTTAATTAAAAAATTAATTGAATGTTGGAAAGAACGTATACATGCACTAACATTAATTCTCTATAAATTAATATCTGAACCAGATTTAAAATCAAAACAAAATGCAATTGGTCTTTCATTAATTGGAATATTATTAGCTAATGATATTTTATCATATTATGTATCACCAACACCAACAGGAAATCTTCCATCTGTAACAACAAATTCAATATTAACAACTATACCAAATGATTTAACTAAAGGTAAATTTAATGATACAACATTTAAAAAATATGAAAAATACTTATAGAAATATACACTACTGACCAGAAGTCCCTGGATGCATGAAACTTCGAATGAAGATCAATCGTTTTTCATGATATTTTTAGCAGAGATGCAGTTTGAAATACTGTCACCGTCAGTACCAATTCAAGCTCGAATACGCTGAGTAAAAATCAAGTTAGAGATGAAATACTACTTTCAGTCGGAGAAACATAATCTCCATACTTAAAGAAATTTTCAATCTAGCTCGTTCTTGATTTTGAAATCTGCTGCTTGTTACATCTCTGATAGAAGTTTGTTTTAGAAGAAATTGGTGATATTCAGAAACGTAGGAAGCAGGAATTTCGAAATTAATGGATGAGACAGGTTGAGAAATCCTTTAAATATCGAACTTGAATTGGTACTGACGGTGACAGTATTTCAAACTGCATCTCTGCTAAAAATATCATGAAAAACGATTGTTCTTCACTCGAAGTTTCATGCATCCAGGGACTTCTGGCCAGTAGTGTATATGCAGTGGCAGCAGCTGAAGTTATTAGAATGTTATTAAATGTTAAGAGACTTAAACATGAAATAAATCAATATTTATTAGAAGAATTAAATTTAATATTAAAATGGCATAATAGTCAACGTTTATCAGACACATATGTAATATGTATTTATTCAGTACAAAAAAATTATCCATTAATTGTTGATAAAACGTAAACAAGTTTTTGAATAATGAATAAAAACAAAAACCATTTCGATTGATTTTTTTTAGTGTTATGAATAAATTAATATTTGCTTTAAAAAAAATGGTTTGGTGATATTAAAATTGAATGTCTAGAATCATTAATTGCTAATATAACTGAATTTGATTCAGCATATTTAGAATTACATACAGCAGAGATATTCTTATTCACAAGTAGATTGTTGTTTTTTTTCTTCTAAAATTATTTTAATGTTGAAATATAAAATGAATATTCAATGCATTTTTTTTCGATGAAATTTGATAAAGATTAGTATAGTTACTTTTAGATTTTGTTAAAATTTTTTTTTTCGCAACCAAAAAAAACATTCTTTTGATTCTAAAGTTAATTATTATCTCGAATAAACTTTGAATAATTTTTGTCGTCTAGTGATAATTCCATGTAAAAACAGGCATTTTTCTAATTAGATTTTGGATCGATATTATATGTGTATGTGCAATTTCATTCGTTAACAATGCGTTTTTGCAATAGAAATATGTTTATACCTCTGGACTTGAGCATTTCTTTTATCTGATTTTTATGTAATAGATGTATGTTGAGTTAGCTGAGATACTCTGAACAAACTAGCGTTTATGATCTCACACACAAAAAAGGACAAAGATTTTCATTAAGTATGATTTCATTTAAAAAATCTGACGTTTCAAACAGTATTTTTACAAATAAAATAGTCCTCGTTCTTGAGGATCCTTCCGACTACAAAGTCTCTGTGAAAAGTTTTTCCTGAACATACTTAGATTTGTCAAAAAAAAAAATTGAGCTTATTCGTTATTATCGACGTCAGTAATCAAAAATTCTCTTGTAGCTGAATGAAGAAGTTGAAAATTCATTTTTAAAAGTTACAAATTCCTATTGACGATCGCGAGATGATAGCAAAACAAAACGCTTCGTTCTAGGACAAGAGCAGACTTCTGGAAAAGCCGTTTTCGGAAAGATAATCTTTTGTAAGTTATTTGCTAATTACGTTTTAATTAATTAACTAATTAAGTTTAATTAGGTGTTGGTTGAAAGAACCAATATTTTTTTATATATTCATAGCACATAAATTTGTTCAAAAAAAAAAACTTTTATAAAGAATCAAGGTCAAATCAAAGATAGTCATGTCCTGTTTTTATTGATTTTTGTCTGTATAATGTATAAATGAAGAGTTCTTCTCGAATTATCGATTTCATTAAATCAAAGGCTTAGCATGAAAATTGTTTTCGATAATACTCAAGAGATTGTCAAAAAGACAAAGACTATTTTGGACACATAGTGTAAGTTGTCTTATCCCATATATATATATACAAATTATAAGAATTATTGCAAATAATTTTCCTAAATAGCCACTAAGATCTTCAATAGTGGTAATTCAAAAACGCTTATTTTTCCTGAAACTGTCCTGTTCAACATACGCTATAAATCTCTTCAGACTACTTATCGCCGATAGTGTATTCTTTTTACATTCTAATATTATGATGATAACTATGAAACAAAGAAAAATGGGAACTTATGTAAGATGATCATAATAAAACAATGAAAAAACAACGAAATTTCATGTTAGAAAACAAAATTTCGATATTCTTCTGCAATTAAATTATATCTATAAAAATTAATAAATACTTTCAAATAATTTTCTAGAGATTTTCGTATTCGTGGTATTGCTTTACATTTATTACATAAACTTTTAGCTAAATTAACACATGAACAATTATATGAAATCGCAAAAATATTATATGTTGATGGTCCAAATGAATGTCAAATTTGGACACTTGAAATTTATAAATGGATCTATGATTATATAACAAATTATTTAACAAAAGAAATAAAAACATCTATAAGACCATTATCAGAAATGTTTTATCATCCTGTTGGTGAACAATTACTAGAATTATTATCAAGTAAATAATGAATATATACGTGTTAATAGTCGAAATTTTTGGTGTGATTCAAAACATTTAAGTACATCATCACATCATCATCTTATGGCATTATTTGATCAATTATATTCAATTAAAACTGAAAATGGATATTTAAATTATTCTACAAATTTTCTTCTTGAATGTACAACACATAATCCTTACTATAATCATTTTATATTTGAAAATTCACTTGATAAATATTCATTTCAACAATTTCCATTACCATGTAATTGGCGTCAACGTCATCATACATATATAACACCTTTATTTACATTATAATCACAATCTATAATTGATTCATCAATATTAACAACAAATTTAATGACTATAGATCCTCTTTAATTTACGCAAACATTAAGTGAAAATAATAATAATGCAGATCAATAACAACAACTATCAAAGTCAACATCATCAATAATTTTAGCAACACAAGAAATATCAAATAGACAACAATTTATTCCAACACAAATGTTAGATAATAATAATAATACAAATTATAATTGGCTTAAACAAACAAATACATTAGATTCAATAAATACATTTACGTTACTAACATTGTCAACACAAACAAAAAAAAAACAACATCATTTATTGTTGATGTTGATAATACAAATCAAAAATCAAAACTAAATACACAAATAAATATACAAAATCAAAAGAATGATGAAGAAGATGATGATATATTTAGACTTAAAAGAAGATTTCTTAAAGATTCTGGATAATTACATGGTAAAATAATTATTTAAATACAATAAAATATTTCGATATTATCTCTTTAAATAATTAGAAAATTTTTATTAAACGATCTCTCCCAAACTGATTCCTGATTAATTTGTTCTAACTGATTTTTTTTCGAATTCGGCCCATGCTGAAAAAAAAAGAACTGATTTCAAACTCAATTTGTTTCCCTAATTTGAAACAAAATGAGCAACAGAGATAATTTGAGAGAGTAAAATGCATTTATTGTTCACCGACGCTCTACTTGAGGTATATTCACTTTCAACATAAGTCTTGTTTACACGTTTAATAGTGTATTGAAAGTTTGATTAGTTCAGCACCTTTTCATTTCGTTCCGTAGTCGTAAAACAAAACACGACGAACAAGTGACAATAGAATTGGGTGAATCCATGGGAAGCGTACCACGTTTACATCGACTTTCTCAGAATCGGCTGAAATTTTCAGAGTTTGTAGAGCTCAATGAGCTGATCATTTGGGTAATAAATTATTAAAGATTTGATCCTGGATTAGGGTTGAAATAACCAAAATACATTTTTCAAAAATTCCGGAAAATCATGTTTAAAGTGAAAAGTTCTGAATTTTAGGAGAATATTTTTCCCTCTATTTGAAGATCTAAATTGAACATTCTATACATATTCTGATAGCTCGTGCTCAGCTCTATCGAACCATATACGAACCAAAACTTTTCCATTTCCTAAGGAAAATTTTTAATGAGACTATAATAACTTCACTGCTACACAAACTTTCTCTCCTAATAAAAAATCTCTTCCGAATTTGGGTGAATTGTGGTCTAGTAGGTTTTGTAGAGTGTCGCATGCTCTATCTTATGGCATATAGAGCATTGCAGCCGGTTTCGGTTATCGTGGATTAGAGAGCCAAAATGTTTATCTACTGCTATTTTCTGAAGCTTTTAGTTCATATTTCTGAATTATTCAAAAGAAAAACTCAATAAACTAAGTTGAAACTTTAAACTCAGAGAAATCTCAATTATTAGAATAGGAATCATAAAAAATTTTATTGATATTGTCGTCTCTTTCATATCATTTTACTATAGTAAAATGTCATAATTCACGTTTGAACTGTTGATTGTTCAAATTTATCCCTTTCCATAGAAAATACAGTTATACTTTATTGAGATAACATATAAGTATCTCAAAAAGATTACTGACTTATTTCGAAAGAGTTCGTTCACCTTCATTTCAATAATGTAACTTCGAGTGTTTTCGAACAGTGATATATGAAAAAAGAATTAATGTTACATTGTAATATTAGTGCTCTTTGAATAATATCAATATTGATATGAGATAAGTATATTTATTCGCTTTAATTCTACTATTCTTGTTTGTCATTGTTGTTTGTTGATGTTAAAAGAAAAGGACTTGAGAGCAACCCTGAAATCCAACGTGCTTCACAGAAAATCAATCGATTCATGTTTAATGATTTTACTTCAATGTACTAGCTATAACGGAATGTATTCTATGAAAATGAATATGAACTTCTTTTCAAAGACATTTGAAACAGAATGAAAAAAGTAGAAGCCATAAGGAAGAGATCAATTATAAGTGGTAGATTTGACTTGTGTTAGATTCTAATGTACGACGGCATTCAACTGTTCGAAAAAAATCGAAGTTACATTGTTGAGATGAAGGTGAACGAAATCTTTCGAAATTGATAAGTAGTCCTTTGAGATACCTATGTTATCTCAATAGAGTACCGCTGTTTTTTCTATAGAAAGTGATAAATTTGAACAATCAATAGTTCAAACGTGAATTATGACATTTTACTATAGTAAAATGATATGAAAGAGATGACAATATCAATAAAAATTTTTATGATTCCTATTCTAATAATTAAGATTTCTCTGAGTTTAAAGTTTCAACTTAGTTTATTGAGTTTTTCTTTTGAATAATTCAGAAATATGAACTAAAAGCTTCAGAAAATAGCAGTAGATAAACATTTTGGCTCCCTAATCCACGAAAACCGAAACCGGCTGCAATGCTCTATAAGCCATAAGATAGAGCATGCGACACTCTACAAAACCTACTAGACCACAATTCACCCAAATTCGGAAGAGATTTTTTATTAGGAGAGAAAGTTTGTGTAGCAGTGAAATTATTATAGTCTCATTAAAAATTTTCCTTAGGAAATGGAAAAGTTTTGGTTCGTATATGGTTCGATAGAGCTGAGCACGAGCTATCAGAATATGTATAGAATGTTCAATTTAGGTCTTCAAATAGAGGGAAAAATATTCTCCTAAAATTCAGAACTTTTCACTTTAAACATGATTTTCCGGAATTTTTGAAAAATGTATTTTGCTTATTTCAATCCTAATCCAGAATCAAACTCATAACAATTTATTACCAAAATGATCAGCTCATTGAGCTCTACAAACTCTGAAAGTTTCAGCCGATTCTGAGAAAGTCGATGTATAAAGTAGTACGTTTCCTATGGATTGATCTACACCATTAATAAATAAACTTGAAAGAACTGTCGACCAATCATTAACAATAAATTCATTTAAAATTTGATGATCAATTTTCGAGAGTAGTGTAGCATTTTGATAATTCAGTACTAATGATGAGAAAGTTTTTTTCAATATTGGAAAATATTCTTTGTAATATTCATTTTGTAAAACAATTTTTAATTGAAGTTTTTCAAGTTTCGTAAAATAAATAGGAAGATTATCTGGACAATCAAAGATTCAATCCAGTTGTGTATCATTCAATTTTAATCTTTTAATTAAAAATGGAATTAATTGAAAATTTTCTGTACTCCATATTTGGACATTATTACTTGTAGACAAATTGATTCGTTCAATATATGGAAGACATAATTTGTAAAATCTTCTATTTAGATTTTAAAAAACTATAAATGATATCTTCACAAATGAAGATAACATAAGATTTCATCTAATAATTCATTCGGTAACACTTCCAAACTGATCATCGATACGAAAAATTTTCGATCGAAAAATAACAAATCTAACTCTATTAACATAACATCTTCTATAGAAGAGCAAATCTACAGATGATAATCCATAGAGTGCAATTTCTTTCTCTTCATTTCTAATTCTCTTAATAATTTCATAGAAGAGTTTTTAGTCGAAGAAAAGAAGAAGGAAAGAAATGTTATCTATACAGTTGAATGAATTGTTTTCTAATAATCTAAAGTATTATAGAAATGAATATGATCATGAGAAAAGAACATTGACAAATCTATTAATAGTATCAAATATGCACTGTACAACTTGCAAATATCTATACAGATAAATAGAAGCAAAGATAAATGATTGATCAGAGAAAAAAAAAGGACTTTTTTCTTTTTGTAGTATTGTTGTGTAACTGAGGAAGAATTTTTCTTTTTCTTTCTTCTAGAATAATATCTCTCGAGGACGAGATTTACCACACAATCATCCGATTACGAAGAAAAACATAAACGAGGAGAAAAAGTTCTTCCTTCCAGAAAATCTCCTATCTTTGTTATTTCTTCTTCAATAAAGGTATTTTTTGTACCAACAAATTCTATTCACCTATAGAAAATTCATCGTAATAATGATCCATTATTTGTAATTATTTTTCAAATCTCATAGCTAACTTCAATGAGAAAGAATGTTATTCTCTCAAAGGAATGAAAGCCTATTAAAAATGAAGTTTTATATCAATATTCATTAGTCGTCAATGGTATGCAAGTTCGAATAGAATTTCTAGTCGAAGTACATGTCATCTTTAGAATATGAACCTTTCTAAATACCCTCATCATTACCGTCGATCCAATCTCATTGATAAACCTTATTTATTCGGGGAAATATCTACAGGAAATGTACCTGCCTTTCTCTAACATGCATAACAAACGTAATCAGCAAAAACAAAAGCTATGAGCATTCCGGTAATACGGTGGATGTCCTAGGGTTTCAGAGAGTATTATTGAGGTTTGAATGTATTTTGGTCAGTGTATATTTATTGTCTCAAAAAAGTTACTATTGAAGGATAGATCAAGCTTTGTATTTCGTCGGAAGATGTGTCTTGATGTTACCATCTTTATCCTGAGAGATTATTTATCTAATCTTTGTACATTACTGATCGTTTCCATATTATATCTGAATGATTTCTTCTGTCAAGTTTAAAAACGAGATATAAATGAATGGAATTGTCAGAAAAATCTTTCCAATGCCAAAGTAATGTTCGTCCGCCGTCCCACGGAAAAAATTTACTCAAAAAACCGCGGCTTCATCAAACCGCGAAAGTCAGATCGTTTATGCGTTTTTTACAAACCGGTGAAAACCGCGGTTTAGAAATACCGCGATATGGCAGAACGAACCGTGGTGCCAGCTAAGTTTTTGCCAGTTGAACCGCGGTTTGTTCTGACCACACCACGGTATTTCTATACCGCGGTTTTCACCGGTTTGTAAAAAACGCATAAACAGTCTGACTTTCGCGGTTTGATAAAACCGCAGTTTTTAGAGAAAAATTTTTTCCGTGGGGTCACGACTCGATTAACCATCGACTTTTTCTCAGATAGATAATGAAGGATAATTGTAAGGT